GAAGCATAAACCTAGCAATAGCTAACTAGCAGCTTTAAAAATTAAATTAAGAATTAAACACAGCCCACAACTTTCCAGACTATTATAGTAAGGGACAGGACCCAGAAAAAATGTCTATAAAGAGCATGGTTTCTAACAGTCAGGGCCCAGCACAGTACTTTTTACTTCCTTTATGCTTTAGGCTCCTGTTCCATCAACTGCGCAGCTCTATAAGGAACCCTGCACTGCCAAAGTGACTCTCGGTCAGCCAGGTCACAAGAACAAAGCTACTCACTGTGGTGCAGACAAAGCCGGTGCTCTTATTTCACAGACAATAAAGGCTGGAAATTTTTATGCATAAAAGTTCTGAAACTTAGAAAGCTTCTCCAGAACTGGTAACATGAAGGAACAAGCTCTTGGAGAAATTGTTGTAGAAACCTCCAGGGGAACATAAGATGAGGCTGAGCTCCTTCAAAGAGATTCCCAGTACAAAGTGTGGAAAGTTTCCAGGATAAATTTCAACTTTATCTTTTAATAGCAGCAAATAAGAAAATATAAGGGTAAAATGGATACAATATACCTTATATACTATTTTCAAGTTAAGAGTAGATAAGCCAAAGTTTCACTGAGGGTTATCTTGGTACAACTCCTAAATCAGAAAGTTTCATAAAGCAGTATTATTTTATATAATTCTGTATTAATAAATGTGAACATAGCAGCTGTCCGGGGAAGTAAGATGTACTACTTTCACAAATATGTATTTAATATTTTAAAGCTAATATGAAGAAATATTTGCAAATCATACACCAGATAACAAATTTCTATCCAGAACACATAACAAAAACTCTCACACATACGAACCAACCCAGTTGTTAGTGAGCTAAGAATCCAAAGAAACATTTCTCTGACAGAAGATATACAAATGGTCAGTAAGCATATGAAAAGGAACAGACAAAGCAAATCAAAAGACAATGAGTGACATACCATTTCACATCTACCAGGCCAGCTGTAAACAAAGAGAGTAAGTCCAGGCACAGTGGTGTATGTCTGTAATTCTGGGGTTTGGACAGCTGAGGAAGGAGGATTACAAGTTCAAAGGTTCAATTCCCAGTAGAGGAGAAGAGAAGGAGAGATGGTGAAGATACTCAAAATAGATGTGAAAATTCTAGCCAGTGGAAATGTAAAATGGAGCAGCCACTTTGGAAAGAGTCTCACAGCTTCCCAAAAAGTTCAATAGTTCCACACTCCACATGAAGACAAAAACATGTATCTGTATAAAAACTAATCAATAAATGTTTATGGCACCATTGTTTTGTTTTGTTTTGGCTGAAACAGAGTCTCAATATATAGTTCAGGTTAGCTTAGAACTCACTATGTAGCCTAGGCTGGCCTCAAACCAGTAGTGATCCTCCTGACTCAGCCTGCCAAATGCTAAGATTACAGGCATGCATCACCACATCTGGCAGCATCATTATTTTTAATAGCTCCAAAAGTATAAGAAATTCAAATTTTCTCATCTGATGAACTAATAAGCATACAGTGAAATATCTTTTGGGAATAAAACTAAATAAAATACTGGTATTACAAAATGGATGAAATCTGGAAATAATATCACTGGTAAGAAAAACCTAATCAGTTAGATATTTAGCTCAGCAGCACAAGTGCTTGTCTGGCAAGCGCAAGGTCATGAATTCGATTACCGGTACCAAACCAAACAAAACCTAATCAAAATGACTATAATGTTGTATGCTTCCTTCTGTATTAAATGTCCAGAATAACAAATCTCTAAGACAATAGTGATTACTTATGGCCTGGGAGAGAGATGGTGCATGGGAGATCAAACTGAAGAATGACTGCTCCTTGACACATGGTTGTTTTGTTAACATTGTGGTTGACAGTTACCCAATTCCGTTAGTTCACTAGAAGACACTGAACTGTACTCTCTAGATCAGTGGTAGTAAAACTATGGCACACTTGCTGTAGCAGGCTAATCTCTAAAAGGTTCCCCATCACTGCTCTAGATGGATAAAACAGACAGTATGCCAACATTTCAAAGTAGTTTTACTTTACTTTATACTAAGTTCTGACTTTCAAACATCTGTGTTGCAAACTTGCACACATGTACTGTGTAAGAATCACTTTGTCTCATCTGAGATTACTGAGACAAAAAAAAAAAAAAAAAAAAAAAAAGAATCACTTTGTCAGATACAAACCAATCCAACTACAAACATTCTCTGGAACAGAATGCATTCAGAGTCAGGGACTCCCTGTATTTTTTACTTTACTACTTCTGTTATTTGCAGTACTGGGAATTGAACCAAGAGCCTTGTGCATGCTAGCCTTGAGCAACATCCTCAGCCTAATGTAGTTTTTAAAGCCCGATTTTAGATTACAAACTACAATGAATCTATTAACTCAAATAATTCTATTTTACCCAATCTTTTGAGTTGTAACCACTCTTTTAAAATAACATAAATCCAGACTCCTGACGCAGCTCACTCCACTCAGACCAATAAAAGCACACATCTCCTGCCACACTTTCCAGCCTGTTCCAGACGACTGCAGTGTAATTTGGGTTTGAACTTTTACCGACCTTGCTTAACTAATTCAACTACTCTGAATACCTGAACTCTGGGTTGTTTCAAAAGAAGGAATTTAAGATGGTCAAATTATTAAATGTAGGTTTAACTTTTCAGAATTCCATGTCACCTTCAATGTAGTCCTCTGTCATTTCTGAGTAAGCGCCAAATTCCTGGTATTTAAACTCATTTCTGAGAATCTACTGGATTTCTCTATTAGTGATACAGCTAGATTTGAAAAGTAGAGTCTCCCATAAGGAAACAGTACAGAGATACAGTACACAAAATCTGTTATATCATGATTAAAGAATAATAATGGATCCAAACTTTTGGCTTTGTTTTTTGTCTTTTTGAGACAGGGTCTTGCTATGCAGTTAGGACTAGCCTTGAACTCACTTTGTAGCCCAGGTTGGTCTCGAACTTGCAACAATTCTCCCACCTCAGCCTCCTGTCTGCTGAGATTATTGGCATGTGCCACCATGCCTGACATTTCATCCTGTTTTTCATCCTCCTTCTCCACACAGCATTCTTCCTGCCTCATTGGAAGGCTTCTTTGCTGTCTTCACCTGACACTCTGGTCAAAACTGAGCCCTTCTCCAATGGTTTACTTTCTATTTTATGACTCATCTAACACATTTTTCTCATTTTACTTGTCTTGCCCACTATACTCTAAATCCCCATAAACACAATGACTATATCTTTTTTATGCTTTCAAGAAAAATTCATACTTTTTAAGACAGACGTGCATGTGGGAGGGGTGTTAATCATTTCTTTATTTCTATCACTCATTGAAATTCCTAGGAAAAAGATTTAATGAATGTGTGTTGAATGAACTGAGCAGGGTATTTAAGTTAAGCACGATGGCAAAAGACAGAAAAGTAGCAAAGGAAAGAGAAATTAAGATTGCCCTAATTTATACAAAAGACGTGTCAGGAATGAGGAAGAACTGTTATGGGAAAATGAATACATTCGTTTTAAAAAATACTCTGTATATAATGTGTTGAGGGGGAAAGAGATGATCTCATTTTTAAAATGGTTTAGAAGATAATGAATGCTACAGTAAATTGTATCAACATAGAAAATAAGTCCAAAGTTTAATAATTCAAGTAGTTTTTGCCTTTGACATACTGAATTTAAAAGGTGTATCTTAAGTAGCTGAATCTGAACAATCTTACTATATCTTACTATAGTCACATCTTCCTGTATGCCACCTAGATCTCCCTTTGAAAGTCCTGTCTCCTACAACCTTTAATCTTCACACTAAAATTATAGTACATCATCTTTTAGATAGATAGATAGGCCTTACTATGTAGTTCAGGCTGTCCTGTACTCACTCTGTAAGCCAAGGTGGCTTTGAACTCATGGCGATCCTCCTGCCTCAGCCTCCAAGTGTGGGATTACAGGCATACTTCACCATGCCCATTTCATATTGACATTTTTAAAGAACAAAAATCGCTTTATAATTTAAATCATGGGTAGTACCATACTATTAAAAAAGGAAAACCCCCTCTGCTACAGCACATCTTTATTTCCAAAAATATTGTAAAAACTATTAGCAGATGACTATATATATTTAAGTCCTTTTCCAGTAAGAACAATTTATTCCCTCCCAGTTTCACTAGTGAAACAGAATTTGGAGATAATGACATAGGAGATGAACAAAAAGAGTTGTGCTGCTTCGGTAATTCATTTCTCTGAAGCATGACTCTAGCACCAATGGTACGTTCTGTGCTACACTGGGCATAATGAAGAATACTAAAAGGATGAATAAGCAAATGAGGAAAAGAGTGGTTAAAAATTTTAAAATATCATCAATTGTAGGTGTATTTTGAACAAAAAGATCAGCCACTGTTTTCAATGAGTTTTAAGATTATTTCTAGCTTAAATAAGGTCTCATAGAAACAAAACACTGTAGTACTACCTTTTAAAAGTTCTGTCTCCTTGCATGGATACACTTTCTTACTGAAGGACTGACAAGCAAACCAAGTCTTTATTAACCCTATGTTGGCCCAGTAGAATTAAAACAGTTTTAACAGGTGATGGTATGAACACATCATAGTCAATTCTAACAATGTCTTTAGGGTTTTTTACTCAAGTTCTCTGGGCAGTGAGGCTTTAAGTGCTAAAACAGTTTAAATTTTTACAGTAAAAACAAAATACCTACAGATAAAACTTTAAAATCTACAAAGTTCCGACCTAAGTCTCTTTCTCCTTCAACAATACGCTGCTCCCAAGCACTAGAGACAGAATGCAAAATACAGGTGTGCCTAGTGTTTCCGTTAGTGGCAAGCAAATCACTGATGCTATTGTAAGTATTTATTTCATGGAAAAAGTACAAATAAATGAGACTGCAATTCAAAAAACATTAAGTCTTATACAAAGATAAAAATGGCAAGTCTTGGCTTTTTTTATTTTATAAATTTTTCTGGTGGTTTTCATTACCTCTTCTTTCAGTGCATGTTTCCTCTGTTCCAAACAGATCTCTTTAGCTCTCATCATTTGTAAAGTTTCTTTGGAAACTGCATACTGAAGTTTTTCCATTCGTTCAGCAGCTGCTGCCCATGATGCTTTACCAAATTTCTTCTGATCTGCTCGCATTCGATCGTAGACAGCTATTAATCATAATTTTTGAAGAGACATTAAGACATAAAACAACCTGACACTAAAGAACTGAAAAATCTTAGATTTCATGGATTACACATAAGGTTTACCTCCATAATAAATTACCTATAGAACATTTCTAAAATGTAACTCAAATGTAGCATACAACCTCTCTAATATCTCAGTTCATCATCAGAAATAATGTTCTGCAGATGAAAATGAATTGTCCAAATAAGTTTAGAATGTTATTAACTTCCAAAACATTTATAAAAACTCATTCTGTGAAGATTCTATGCTTTTTTTTCTAGGTATGTTAACTGAAATAACTCAGATTAAAAACAACCAAGTACAGTGGCACATGCCTTTAATCCTAGCACTCGGGAAGCTAAGGCAGGAGTACTACTGCAAGTTCAAGCACTTCCCGGGCTACTGAGTGAGTTCAAGGCCAGCTTAAACTGCATAGTGAGACTCTTTCTCAAAACAATCAAACAAACACAAACAACACTCAAATCCACATTCCAGCTGTTATCATTCTGTATCCCCCAATACAATAACGTGATATAGAGGGAAATAAATCAGGTATCACCATGGCACTTATCATCCTTATACCCAACTATACTTTAATAACTGACAGACACTTCAATTAGCATAAAAGAAATAGGGAATTAAATTAGTACCAAATGGGACATATTCACTGGTAATTTATATTTTCAGAAGTAATTACTTTTGTACTGCCACTATGCCCTATCTTTCACAATAAAGTACAGTTAAGGAACCTTTTATAAAATGCATCCCTTAAACAATAATGCATATATGTGTTTACAAACAGAAACACACAATTACTTATTTGTGCTCAGCTCTTTCCTACCTGTAGCAACAACTACCCAAATGTAACTAAATTTTAGTCAGTTTCAGGGGATATGTTGAGAAATACTGCTGTTTCTTGATTTACAGTCTTTAAAAAATAATTTGTTCATGATGAATGCAATTGTTATGTACTGTAAACATATACTAACATATACCTACATATCACCACCTCCATACCTTGCCTTTCAGCATCTCTGGATGAATCATTCTTATAGTTAATTATTGTCCATGGCACTTGAAATTTTTAAATAGGTCAAATTTTTGAAGGTATTAAAATTTGTATATGGAATGTTTGGTATATCCCCAGAAAAGTACTAAAATATCCCTAAAACACCACTTTCCCATTGCTGACAAGAATGAAGATTCTCATAAGAATTAATATTATTAGGCAAAAATGCTGCTACTATAATGATAGTCAATCATTACACTATGCTTTAAAAAGCTCTGAAGATGGCAGAATCATGGTGTTTACAAGGTAGCAGGTTAAATCTGTTTTTTTTTTTAAATCTAATTTAGGGCCGGGGACTTAGCTCAGTGGCATTAAGTGACTGCTTGGCAAGCAGAGGTTGTGAGTTCGTTCTCCACCACTAAATTAAATAAATAAATAAACAACTAATCTATTTTTAAAACATAACATTTTGAGCCAGGGTTTTAGCTCAGCGGCACATGAGGTCATGAGTTCCATCCCTGGTACTGAAACCAAAAAAAAGGAAAAAGAAAAAAAAAAAAACAGTTTAACACATATCAGTAACAGGCTATTTAAAGTAGGAAGATTGTTTTTAATTGGTTTTTGAGACAGGGTCTCCCTACGCAGGGACTGGCCATGAATTCACTAGGCTAGCCTCAAACTCCAAGAGATCCTCCTGCTTCAACCTCCCTAATGCTAGTATTATACATGTACATTAATCACTATACTTGCCTAAGGTGATATTTTTTAAAGGCAAAGTATAATATACTGACGTTAGGTGACATCTAGCTTTGTAGAAGAAAAATATAAAGGCCTGTTTGACTTCTCTAAAGAGAAAATACAAGTTGCTCTCTGAGACATAAATAAGTTTATAGTCTCTGAAGTTTATAGTCCTGAGAGGCCTGTCCCTGTTTCTCCTACATGAGCAGGAACAAGCTTTAAAAGGGAAAGCAAAAAAGTCATATTAGCTATCTCTTATTCAAGGCCAAATTCTTCTTGGTAGGAAAAAGTAATTAAAACTAAAATATCAAAATGATTTTGATGAAACATGTAGCCCTACAATGATATTCATCATATTGAAAAACATTGCCTGAAATTGGAGAAGCATGTTATAAATAAGAGCAACTTTCTAAACTGTTTATGTAGACTCATTGCACTTATTCAATATACCCTATATGGAAAAGGACCAACAGATAAGAGAGGTCAGGTTTTCCCTACTAATATTTATAATTTATAATAATTTGCACTGATAATACAAAGGCTTTTTTAAAAAATTAAGACTATATTCTATAAAGCAGACTCTACAAACCACACAGCTATCATAAAGGCAGTCTACAATAGATCAAAATATATTTAAAGTTGCTTAAAAGGTGAGATTCTTTATGTAAGACAGTATTTTTTTTTTCTTTTTTCTTTTTAAAATTATCATATGGCACTAGGATTGATGGGTCACATGTAAATGCATTGTTAACGCTGCAGAATTATATTCTGAGGTAACTATACAACTCTGTACTCCCATCAGCAGGATAGGAAGAGCCATGATGAGCTATCTTTTCTATCTGTTGGCATTTTAGTATTTTAATTTTAGCCATTTTACTATGTGTACAGAGGCACCCAGCTCATTAAGGTTTTAATCTGCATTTCCACATTGAGCAATGATTCTGAACTTCTTTTTCCTATGCTTATTTGCTGCTTTCTCATCTGTTAACTGGATTGTTATCCTTCAGTTTGGAGTTCTTTATATATCCTGGATACAAGATGTTATTTTGGCTGGGAGAGTCAGATAGGTGAGTCACATATATGAGTCACATATATTATCTTGTATCATTTCTCTTTTTAAAAAATATTTATTCTAAAAAGAGTAAAATTAAACATAACAAAACAGTACAAAGCAGATCAGAAGCAAAACAATGCAAGTGACACAGATTTCAAAGCAAGACCTCAGGAGATCTACAGTGACTACCATAAAATCTCCTTTTCTTCTAAATTGCTGTCTGTATCTTCACACACAATGAATTCATACAAAACAACATAGTTTAAAACTGTGTATCATTTCTCTTGACACTACCTGGCAAAGTAAAACTTGATGAAACCCATTTTATTAAATTTCCTGTTTACAGTCTGTACTTTTTATCATTTTTATGTTTTTTCCCCTTTGTGTCATTAGTAAGACTTCTCTGCCTAACTTTAGATTACATAAACTTACATAACTCTAGGAAACAGATTTTCATGTTTTCTTCTGGAATTTTATAGTTTTACATTATATAATTGGATCTCTGATTTCAAAGGTTTGAGGTTTAGGTTATAGTTCATTATTTTGCATACAGATGGTCAACTATCTGAATATCATTTGTTGTTTCTCCTTTCATGCTGTAATCAAAGATTAAATAATTACACTTGTATCTATTTCCATGCCCTCCATTCTCTTCCACAGAAGAATATATGTACCTAGAAAGAACTCAGAGGACACATTTTAATTTGCTAATAGTGGTCTCTAATTACTGGGATGAGTGGTCTTTATGTATTTTTCTGTATAATCCTTCTTTGGAGTACTCACCATTCAGTTCCAAAAATGCCTAACAGGAACAATTTTACTGGAAAACTTACCTTTTTGAGCTTTAGCTGTTATTTCAAAATATTTGACAGTAAGATCCTGAATAGACAATACAGCCATGTGAGCTTTCCGCTGCCAATCAGCATCTTCTTTTTGTAGACTCTCAATTCTTCGGGGTCCCAGATAATCATTCTCCATAGATATCTTTAGAGAAAAAATGTGAAAAATAAATTTAATTCTAAGCTGGGTGTAGTGGCACATGCCTATAATCACAGCTGCTGGGGAAATTGAGGCAGGAAGATCATCAAATTTGAGTCACCCTGGGTACTGTAGTGAGATCCTATTTCAAAAATATAATTTAAACAAGGGTTGGGCATCTGACTCTTGATATGGGAGCCAAAACATATGTGAAGACAGCATTTTTAACAAGCAGTATTGGGAAACTTAGCTATCCATGTACAGAAGAAGCCTGAAACAAGCTTCACCCCATTGAGGGAGAGGGAAAATCAACTTAGAATGGATTAAAAACCTAAATATAAGTATTGCAATTCTGAAAATATTACAAGAAAATATACAGGAAACATTCAAAATGTGAGGCACAGGCAGCAGGGTGTGGTAACACTCACTTGTCATCCCAGCACTACTGGAGGCTGAAGCAGAAGGATCACAAAAATCAAGCCCAGCCTGGGCAACTTAACGACTTAATGAGATGCTCTCTCAAAATAAATACAAAGGGGAGGGCTGAAAAAGGGTAAAGGAATAGGGGGGAAAAAAAAGAATCAAGTTATACCATGTAGAGGTACAAACTCTCTATGATCAGTATGATCATTATATATACCTAAAATGTACCAATAAAAAAAAATCATTAGTAGCCAGCGTGGTGGCTCATGCCTATAATCCCCAGCACTTGGGAGGCTGAGGCAGGAAGATCACTGAGAGTTCCAGACCAGCCTGAGCTATACAAAGTGAGCTCAAGGCTAGCATGAACTATATAGTGAGACCCTGGCTCAAAAAGGCAAAATTTTTTTTAAAAGCTCATTTTAAAAAAAAAAAAAAAAAACAGCTAGGGGACAGAGCCTGACCAAGGCCCTGGGTTCATTTCTTAGTGGGGGGCAGGGACAGGAAAAAAATACCCAAAAGTAGTAATTTGCAATGAGGACTCCAGAAGCTAAGAAAATAACAAGCATCAACAAATGTGATTACTGGACATCCAAGTCAAAATCTGTACAGCAAAAGAAGCAGTATGAAGGGACAGTCTACATAGAATGGGAGAAAATCTTTGGTGGATCCTCTTTCAACAGATGATTAATATCCAGAATACATAAATAAATATAGTGGCTACTATATGAAAACATTTCAAAATCTTTAGCCTCAAGCAAATGCAAATCAAAAATATGCTGAGATTCATTCTCATCCAAAGCAGATGGGCACTTGGAAGTCTGAGGCCAGCACAGGCTGCACAGAAAATGTGAGGCCAATCTGAATTACAACTATACCCTTCCCAAAAAATACATACAAAAAAGCACTAAATGCTGACAAGGATGCAGGGGAAAAGGAAACTTTTCTTCACTGCTGGTGAAAATGTAAATTAGTGCAGCCACTATGAAAGTCAGTACTGAGGTTCATCAAGAACTAAAACTATGCCAAAGGGGTGGCACACACTTGTAACCCTAGCATTCAGGAGGCTGAAGCATGAGGATCTTTGTGAGTTCAAGGCCAGCCTGGGCTACATGGTGAATGCAAGGCCAGCTGGACTACACAGCAAGACCCCCCATCTTTAAAAACAAGCCAGATGTGGTGGCACATGGCTATAATTCCAGTACTGGGGAGGCTGAGGCATATCATTACAAGTTCAAGACTAGACTGGGCTACAAAGTGAGTTCAAGGCCAGTCTGAACTATATAGCAAGACTCTGTCTCAAAAGACAAAAACAACAACAACAAAACAAACACCTAAAATCTAACTATACCCCTTGGAACACATCTGAAGGAATTAAAATGCACATACTATAGAGACAGCTGCACACCCACGTTTCTGCAGCATAATGCAAAATAACCAAGACAGGGAATGTACGCAGCAGTGGGTAAGTGGATAAAGAAACTGTGCTACAAACAAACAACAGAGTATTAGGCCACAAAGAACAAATAATGTCATCGCAGGAATAGGGATGGAAATGATCATTATATTAAGAAAAACAGACATGGATGGTGTTCATCATCTGTTTTTCCTAAGATGGAAAAGGGCAGGGAAAGAGGATATGAGAACAAAGGGAGAAGGATCGTTGGGAAGTAGTAATAGATTCTTTCTTTTGTTCATTCCCCAAACATTTACTGAATGTTTATATGCCAAGTATCAAGCTTCGTGATAAAATAAAGAATACTTATTTTATGCCCTATTCTATGGAAGCTATTGAATTAAAAACAAGTGAATTAACAAGGATATTTGACACAAATCTATTTTCTGTTCCCCCTTTTCTGACCTATCATCCCCTCCCACTCAATATATACACAAAGAATACATACCAAAATGTTACGTGTGATTATTCTGGAGTATTGAGACAATTTATTTATTATATTCTCAGAACGTGATTTATTCAATAAAAATTAATTTAAATAACATTAAGTAAATGAAATATTGAAAACTCAAGAGTTTAAGGTAATATAAATGGGGCATGGTGGCACATGCCTGTACTCCTAGTAGTCAGGAGGCTGAGGCAAGTGGATCACTGCAAGTTTGTCTGAGGCCACTCTGGGTTAGAATTCAAGCCCAGCCTGAACTGCATAGCAAGACCCTGTTTCAAACAAACAAACACCAAATCAGTCTATATACACACTGAAAAAGACTATGGATGAAAACACCATCTTTGGCCCTGTTGTACTCAAACCCAGGACCTTTACACATGCCAGGCAAATGCTTTGACACTGACCTATATCTTCAGCCCTCTTGATTGAAGTTAATAGAGAAAAGGCAGGGCCTGGTAACACACACCTCTAATACCAGCACTCTGGCGCTGAGGCCAGCAGAATAGCCCAGCCTAAGCAATTCAGCAAGTTATCAAGACCCAGTTTCTAAAACAAAAAATAACAAAAAAGCCAGCCATAACGGCACATGCCTGTGGATCAAGCACTCAGGAGGACTGCCATGAGTCTAATGCCAGCCTGGCTACCTAGTAAGTTCATGGCCACCCTGAACTATACAGTGAGACCCTGTCTAACAAACAAACAAACAGACAGACTGGGGATACAATTAAATGAGAAGGCATTGAGTTCTGTCCAACGTACAATGTGTATGGCAGGGTGTACATGTGTTAAGTCATGAATAAGCCTCATCCAACCCTGAAGAATTCTGACATTCTTGATTAGAAGAGCCCACAGAACAAAACCAAGACAGAGAGACAGATAATACAACACCTAACAGGACTCCAGAAAGGAGAAACTGCCCACAGCATTCCACCATAGTGTGTGGTAACTGATGTTCATGGACTTAACAGCACTGACCTTGACCAACACTGTGCAGGGGTAATAAGCAATTCCTCTGTCTGGTCATTTATGAAAGTTCCTGAACATTCCACAGAGAGTTCTCCATTCACTCCCTGTACCACTACAGCATTTATACTTTATTTTGTGAACTTGTAAATACTGACTGCTTCCCCTCAGTGAAAAGGCTGGATGGTTTATTTTCCACTAACACACTGCCTGACATGAACTGGCAATTTTAAAATACTTTCTGAATGACTGAAATGAAACTCACGTCCATGTATTTTTGTAATGAACAGAAAAATATAAAATATATGTATATAAAAATGCTCCTTGAGAAATACGATTATGTGGAGGGATAAAGAAAAAAGGGTAGACTTGGGAGAAAACATGGGCTTTCAGGTGGGTCTTTTATTTATTTTTTTTTTAGTATTTTTTTATTTTAAAGATAGTAAAATCCAACAGAACAAAGCCAATCAAAACAAAGCAAAACTGGTACAGAACTTCAAAACAGGATGCTAGGAAAACAACAATAGCTACCATAGTATATCTTGTTATCCTTACAATAGTTCTCCGTTCCATCAGCTATAGCAAAATCAAAACAGAATAAAATCAATCAAAACAATATTGAATCAAGCAAAACAGGTCAGAACAAAGCAAAACTGTGAGAACAATATTGGGTTTCAAAGACAAGACAGAAGGAAACCCCTCATATTTGTTATATTGCATACTGCCAGCCTCCCAAGAGATGCTCAGATCGCTGACCCCAGGTCTGCAAAATCAACCAAACAGTACAAGCATTTAGTTTCTTTATGTACCTTAGTTGCTATCAACTCAGCCTGTCCTCTGAACTAGTGAACTGGTGGGCTGTTTATGGGAAGGTTTGATTCTCAGCCGGCACTCCAGTAGGCGCCTCACACCGACTTTGGTCTACTGGAAAGCTGTGAGGCTTGCACAGCTTATCAGAAAGCTGGCTGGTTAACTTGTTATTGGATCCTCTTAATCCCAGCATGGCCGTTTCTCAGGAGGCACTGAATGGCCACTTTTCTCTTCTTTGAAGCTGCATGGCTTACACAGGTTACCAGACAGGCTAGCTAGTTAGCTTCTTGTTAAGATCCTCCCAGTCCCAGCATCCAGGTAGGCCTTTTAAATAATTTGTATATTTTTTGGGTTTTTTAAAAATTCTATCTTAATGGATATGCTACAGAAAGATGATGGTGATAAGAAAGAAGCATCTAACAGAAGCAGAATCTAAAGCTGCAAGAAATAGATGGGGCTAACTAGAGTAAGGAAGCCCCTAAGAAAATACCTTCAAGCACACAGTTCAAAGCTGGCTGGAACTAAATAGCAAGACCCTGGCTTAAGAAAAGAAAAGAAAAGAAAAGAAAAGAAAAGAAAAGAAAAGAAAAGAAAAGACAAGACAAGACAAGACAAGACAAGACCAGACCTTCAAAGAGCAATAATCACAGATACAGTGCCAAATTGTTTGAAATAAAGGAAAAACACTGATCCCAGAAATGTAAAGTTACATCTAATATTCTCCTAAAATATAATTCAATGCAATTAATATTGCTGAAGAGTTTTTGACAATGTGAGAAATTATAATACAAGGTAGAAACAAGTCAAAATCATAGATATGATTTTAATTACATAAAAGATTTCTGGGGGGAAAAAAAAATCACAGAAAAAAATAATTTTACCTCTTGAGTTCACAAGCCATATCATGGA